TTTCCATGGTTTTGTGAGGGGAAACTCCTTGCTCCTCACTATTCCCATGAAAGCCCATGGTAGTTTCCAGGAGGAAGATGAGGAACATGCACTGAATTCACCAAACTGAACAATCACCCCAAAGAAGCACTTGACAACCAGCACAGTGAATTCAAACTACTACAGGAATGTTGGATTGCTACTGAATAAAAACATTTCCCTCCTAACTGACAACTCCAAATAAAGACGACCTCACTGTCAGGCTCAGAAGGAACGTGTATTCCAGAATACCAGCCGAGGAAGAATATGTGAAACGGGGACAAGTCTTGCAGAAACATAAAAAGCAACACTCCTAATCATCACAAGTAGTTGTATATACAAACAGACACTTCTCCTTCTACACCTTCCCGAGACATTTCTATAGTTCAAGTTCAGAGATTTATTTTTCTGACAAGCTCACAAAACAACTCCCACTTCCTTTATCTGCATTATTACAGTGAATGTTCATGTCATCAAATACTCAAATTAGGCATGAATCCAGACAGACCATTGATTTATTCTACACGATTAATATCCAAAATACTATTTTGGAACTGAGATACTAAATAAATAGTAGTAATAATAGTGCCAAATACTATTTAGCACTGAGAAGTGCCACTTTGTAAGGGTTACTGACTAATATTAAATGTTCAGAATCAAGCTAAACATAACAGACTGTTTTTTACAAGAGCATACATTGCCGTCCACGGGCAAAAGCGAAATACCCAGCCTGTGCCCTCTGCGACAGCTTTGGCAGAGATTTACAATGAACAAAAATTATGTTGCATATTTGCTGTTCCTCTGGGTATATCTCACCAACGTAAGCTTGATAATCTTTTGACACCTTTCCCCATTTTACTTGCAAGTCTCCTTTTATAGTCACAGATAAATTATTTTATCCCCGATTAGGGCTATTTTCACAACAACCTGTCAGGATTATCTCCAATTATTTTAGCTACTGCTGTGAAGTTTACTGGAAGCATAACAAATGATGTTTCTTCTCAAACTTACCCACGTGTGTAATTGAAAAATAAAACCAAGTAGTTGGCAGCATCTGTGTTCCCCAGAAACTCCACAGCAACGTTTGAGCTGCCTGGAGCAGCCACGCAGGGATGGCCAGAAGAGCTGGGAAGGCGGCCATGCCACCCGCTCTCCTGCCATGGGGAGGGGGCTTCCTTCATGAAATTAGTTCAGCCCGAAGCGACCTGCACCAGGTCCCTGAGAATCAAGGTTAAGGTTAAGGTTGGGATGAAAGCATTGGAAGATGTGCTTCAGATAACCAAGAGGGGAACATGAGCGGGCAGAAACCCAAACATTTGTGGTTATTTCAGTCAACATAAGGTTGTGTCTGAAAAAATAAGCAATGCCACAACCTGAGTGTAAGCTGAAGTAACCACTTCTCCTCAGAAACTTTCAGAAGTCGGGACAGAGCTCTCTGCCAGCTGTGTCCAAGGAATGCCATGCTCTTACCAGCACCATTCCTTATCCCATCTGCCCCTGGCAGGATGAAGTCCTGAGGCCTCTCTGTTTCCTGGCTTCAGTTTAAAGACCCCAGGAAGATTTTCTTGGTACACTGGCTAAACCCTTCCCTCGCGTCCCTCTGCACATCCCCAGGTGCCACTTAAACAATTCCGTCACCTTCTTACACTTGAAATTCATAATGATTGATTCATAATGTCTCGGGTTAATTGCTTTACTCCTTCCTAAGCCAACTCTCTCTTCCGCAACAACGCTCTCCTCCATCCTCCCTGCCCAATGAAACATGGACTAAACCAGACATCCCCAGTGCCACTGGTGGAGCTGGGTGGCTCTGCGACAGCGTGTCCCCTGCTGCCGGGGACCTGCTTTCACTTAGTGCCCGTGGTCACCTCCCTCTGCCTCAGCATGGCCCCCCACGGGTGTCCCCCTCCCCGGGGGGAGGTGGGGGGTACAGGACCCCAGCTCCAGCTGGAACCCTGAGCATCACCCACCGCCCTCGCAGCCGTGACACCAGGTACAGCAGGGAAGGGGGCCCGGGGACACCCTGGACCCCCAGGCCAAGGGATGGGGGACAACGGGCCGTGCCCGAAGGGGGAGCGCGGACAGGGGGACACCCACCCGCGGCCTCGCCACCGGGCAGGGCCTGCCGCCTCCCGGTCAGCACAGTGAATTCAAACTACTACAGGAATGTTGGATTGCTACTGAATAAAAACATTTCCCTCCTAACTGACAACTCCAAATAAAGACGACCTCACTGTCAGGCTCAGAAGGAACGTGTATTCCAGAATACCAGCCGAGGAAGAATATGTGAAACGGGGACAAGTCTTGCAGAAACATAAAAAGCAACACTCCTAATCATCACAAGTAGTTGTATATACAAATAGACACTTCTCCTTCTACACCTTCCCGAGACATTTCTATAGTTCAAGTTCAGAGATTTATTTTTCTGACAAGCTCACAAAACAACTCCCACTTCCTTTATCTGCATTATTACAGTGAATGTTCATGTCATCAAATACTCAAATTAGGCATGAATCCAGACAGAGCATTGATTTATTCTACACGATTAATATCCAAAATACTATTTTGGAACTGAGATACTAAATAAATAGTAGTAATAATAGTGCCAAATACTATTTAGCACTGAGAAGTGCCACTTTGTAAGGGTTACTGACTAATATTAAATGTTCAGAATCAAGCTAAACATAACAGACTGTTTTTTACAAGAGCATACATTGCCGTCCACGGGCAAAAGCGAAATACCCAGCCTGTGCCCTCTGCGACAGCTTTGGCAGAGATTTACAATGAACAAAAATTATGTTGCATATTTGCTGTTCCTCTGGGTATATCTCACCAACGTAAGCTTGATAATCTTTTGACACCTTTCCCCATTTTACTTGCAAGTCTCCTTTTATAGTCACAGATAAATTATTTTATCCCCGATTAGGGCTATTTTCACAACAACCTGTCAGGATTATCTCCAATTATTTTAGCTACTGCTGTGAAGTTTACTGGAAGCATAACAAATGATGTTTCTTCTCAAACTTACCCACGTGTGTAATTGAAAAATAAAACCCCAAGTAGTTGGCAGCGTCTGTGTTCCCCAGAAACTCCACAGCAACGTTTGAGCTGCCTGGAGCAGCCACGCAGGGATGGCCAGAAGAGCTGGGAAGGCGGCCATGCCACCCGCTCTCCTGCCATGGGGAGGGGGCTTCCTTCATGAAATTAGTTCAGCCTGAAGCGACCTGTGCCAGGTCCCTGAGAGTCAAGGTCAAGGTTGCAATGAAAGCATTGGAAGATGTGCTTCAGATGACCAAGAGGGGAACATGAGCGGGCAGAAATACAAACATTTGTGGTTATTTCAGTCAACATAAGGTTGTGTCTGAAAAAATAAGCAATGCCACAACCTGAGTGTAAGCTGAAGTAACCACTTCTCCTCAGAAACTTTCAGAAGTCGGGACAGAGCTCTCTGCCAGCTGTGTCCAAGGAATGCCATGCTCTTACCAGCACCATTCCTTATCCCATCTGCCCCTGGCAGGATGAAGTCCTGAGGCCTCTCTGTTTCCTGGCTTCAGTTTAAAGACCCCAGGAAGATTTTCTTGGTACACTGGCTAAACCCTTCCCTCGCGCCTCTCTGCACATCCCCAGGTACCACTTAAACAATTCCATCACTTTCTTGCAGTTGAAATCTTTCAAATATTGGTGGATTCATAATGTCTCGGGTTAATTGCTTTACTCCCTCTGCACATCCCCAGGTGCCACTTAAACAATTCCGTCACCTTCTTACACTTGAAATTCATAATGATTGATTCATAATGTCTCGGGTTAATTGCTTTACTCCTTCCTAAGCCAACTCTCTCTTCCGCAACAACGCTCTCCTCCATCCTCCCTGCCCAATGAAACATGGACTAAACCAGACATCCCCAGTGCCACTGGTGGAGCTGGGTGGCTCTGCGACAGCGTGTCCCCTGCTGCCGGGGACCTGCTTTCACTTAGTGCCCGTGGTCACCTCCCTCTGCCTCAGCATGGCCCCCCACGGGTGTCCCCCTCCCCGGGGGGAGGTGGGGGGTACAGGACCCCAGCTCCAGCTGGAACCCTGAGCATCACCCACCGCCCTCGCAGCCGTGACACCAGGTACAGCAGGGAAGGGGGCCCGGGGACACCCTGGACCCCCAGGCCAAGGGATGGGGGACAACGGGCCGTGCCCGAAGGGGGAGCGCGGACAGGGGGACACCCACCCGCGGCCTCGCCACCGGGCAGGGCCTGCCGCCTCCCGGTCCACCCCGCCACCGGTGAGGCCGTGCCCACGCGTGCAAAGGCGGGGAGGCCACACAAGCAACGGGCGCCCCGGGCTGTCACCCCCGCGCGGCACCGGGGGAGCGGCGGGTCGGTCTTCGGGGGAAGAGTGTGACAACCCAGGGACGGTCCCCGCCGCAGCCGCGGGGGTGTCGGGGTGTCGGCGGGGCCCACGGGGGCGCGGGCCGGGCCGGACTCACCTGCGCCGTCACCATGGAGCCGCGCGGCCGCCTCCTCCCGCGGCACCGGAAGCGGCGAAGAGGCCCCGCCCATGACGCACTTCCTTAGCAACGCGCGCGCCCGCCCCCACGCCGCCATTTCCTTAGCGACCGGCCCCGCCGGGGCCCGGATGGAGCCGGGACAAAGGGGCCACCGCCCCCCTCGCCAAAACCCCCTGCACCGCAGCCACCGCCAGGCCTGGCGGTACCAGGACACACCTTGCCTTCCACCAACCCCTAAAGTTGCATTTTTTGCCCCAGCCGGGGAGCCCCGTGCTGCTGCTCCCTCCCCTCAGGCCCGGGAAGGGCCCCGCTTCAGGGGGCGCTCACTCAGGAAAGGAATGTCTGTGCAACGCAATTTAATACAAAAGCAGGTTTTTATTCTTACAAAAAAAATACCTTTTTCTTTAAAAAACCCCCCACATTTTCTTTTAATACACTGTTTAATACAATACTGTGCGGAAAGATTACAAAAAAAAACCCCCTTTTTCTTTAAAAAAACCCCCACATTTTCTTTTAATACACTGTTTAATACAATACTGTGCGGAAAGGCTGCCCTTGCCCTGCAGTGAGACAAGGCCACCCTAATGGCGTCATCCAACATCACCAAGGGAGGAGCGTGCAGGTGCCCAGCTGCCCTAGGATGTGGCCAGAGGTCCCAAAACTGCCAAATCCCACAAATTTCTGGAAGCCAGCACTGAGGAAACAAGACATGAGTCTTTGCCGCCCTGACACTTCAGGTACCGTCTCATTTAGCTCCCTCTTGTGCCCTCCCTTGAGCCTTCAAACTCCTTCAAAGCTGAGAAACATTTCCAAGGAGGGAAAAACCCCCCACCAAAAAGATATTTAGAGCGAAATCCCAGTAACTGCTCAGAGAAAGCAGCATTTAGACCGCAGCAGCACACTGAAGGCAGCCAGCCCCAGTATGACAGATTGACCTAAAAGGTGTTTTTAAAAAAGAAACAGTAAGTTCTGTACTCAGTCTTTGGGAAAAAATTAATAAAATGACAGGAGTACCAAAAGGCATTGGTCAAGTTGAATCTCACCACACTGGGATTATCGGTGTTAGCAGTGCAAAACTAAGAGGTTTTCAGCTGCTGTTTCACCATCAGTGAACGCTTCCAACAGTTCTCTCCTCAGTTATCTACCCTCACAGACAGGGGTCTGTTGTCAGAGGGGTTATTTCACAAAGTACAAAAACTGACAAAAAAACCACAAAAAAACAACACAAGAACCAGAAACAACATTAACATAGACCTAGGTACAACATACACCAAACCCACTACAGCTACGTTAAAAATCTTAGCTTAAAATCAGTTTCATTTCTACCACAGACCTCCACCTGACGTCACCAGCTACAAGCCCTACATCTCCAACTCTCGACTGGCTATGGAAAATCTCCTGCCTGTGGCCCTGCAAGCACCTTCTCCCCCAGTTCCACACAAAGATGGGCTGAAGAGACAGCTGCCACATCAAAACATGTCCCCGCTGCGCTTCAGTAGCACCGCTGGAGATGAAACCTCTTTTGACAGGGGAATGAAAACCGAGGCACTGAGGTGACACAGCTCTAGTAAGGCAACAGTGGTACATGATAAAACCTAGATCTTTCATTTTTTGTCCTGAGGTTTATCTTGCAGTCCTTTCCAGGGAATGTGATATTCCTGGCAATAGTTTGCACTTATGGTCAGTTTTGGACAAGAAGCTTCGCAGCTCCAGGTAAAACTTAAGATTTAACGGAAATAAAAAATGGAAAAAGAGGAAATCCAAGCAGCTACTTCATCATGATTGCTGGCAACCCCCAAATAGTGAGAATGGAGAACTAAGTAAACTACGTCTTAAAAAAGTATACGTAGTTCATAGCTTCCTATAAACTACATGATTTAAAATTACTTTTCTGTCTGACCTCATGCTGGAAACATAGAAGTCAGACAGAACAGTAAGTGAGGAGCACCACAGGCAGCTCTGCGGCAGCCCGGCAACGTGCTCTTCAGGCAGGAGAGCACCATTAGCACCAAGCGGTCCCTCAGTGAGGTAACCAAGCTCAGAGCCCTGAAAACTATGGAGCTTGTCCCTCTTTTGGTCAGAATTCATCCCGTAATCTTGGTGGGTGGTCCATGCCAAAAAACGAAGAGGGTTTTCCATGCACGTCACGCTCTCTTTTCACAAAGGCAGTAAACGAAGAGACGCAGTTCCCGATAAAATGATCGGACTGGCCAAGAATATATAAATCAATCTGAGGCACTTCTGGCTGCAAGTTAACAACCTTGATCTGCAGGGAAACAAGGAAAGAAATTATTCCAGTCATCTATTATTACAATCCAAATGCTTTGGCATAATATTAGAAATGGGAATAGACAACAAAAAGGGAGTGGGTTCCGTCTTAAATTGTGCTATAATTCATTTATGGATAGATAAATGTCAAAACATTTTTGAAAATCACTTAGGTTTATTTAATTGAAGTCTTGTTTCAAGGAGAAATTTACTACCATGCAGGATAATGCTCCTCAACCTCTAGGAAAGGAAAAGTTTTACAGTATAATCTTTATTGCTATGAGCAAAATTTATTTTGAGATGCCAATATTTGTCTGTGAATAAAGTATTGCACAACTGCCTGCCTGCTGTCTGTGGCAGCAACTGGCCAGAATCCAGAGAAGGTTTTTATTAAAGCACTCCTGTCAGAACAGGTTCCTGAAAGACTTACCTTTCCTTGGAAGAACTGCCGTATTTCTGTCGTGTAGGGCTCAGAATCAGTAGCAATAAAAATAGATTTAGCTTCTGTCTTTTTCACCCACAGCTTGAGAGCACGCTTGATCTCTTTGAGGTCTGGCAGGCACATGTCCATGGTGAGAGGGACCGCGGCGCTTCGGTCGTAGCCCACACACTGAGGTGAAGCCATGAAGTGTGGTCCAGCCGTCCCATCCTTTAACATATTGCAAGCATTTTTCTGTTGGAAGAAGAAAAGAGAAAATAATCATGTTTGAATGGCAAGTGTGAGAAAACACTACCATGTCCCCCACCTCTGCCAGCAGCGTTACAGCCCGTTGCAAAGAGAAATCTTGATGGCATTTCTAACACACAGTGAGTTATCAAATGCCAGCAGGGCTTGGGCTGCCACCCCAGAAGCACAGCTCCTCTTTGGGCAGCTTCTTTCACAAGCATTGGTGACCCACCTACAGCAACCAGCAGCACACAGGAGCCATACCCAGTCTGAGCCAATCCTCAGGTGAATTCCTACGTAGGGCCTGACCAGCAGAGAATGAATATAGGCTTCTCCTTTCTTCACCATTTCATCAGACCACACCATGTACTTCTGGAGGGGCCGGTGCTCCTCTAAGACTGGAAACTGGGCTGGAGCTCCAGGTAAGGCAAGTACAGGGTGCTCAGATGGTGAAAACCTAGAGGAAAAAAAACCCAGCAGACTGAAACACAGTGTAACCTTGTATGCTTCGTATTCAGCAGGAATTTCCTGAAGTTTCTGTTCCATTAGAATGGAAATTAGAATTACAATTCCCATTAGAATGGAAACTAATGCTAAAATAGGCAGCATCTATTGCTCCAAATTTACCCAAGACCAATCCTAACCATTTTGCCATGTGGACAGAACACTGAAGCAAAACTCAGGTACCACATTTTACCTCAGACCTGGCAACAAATCAATTAGTATTATTTAACAGATAAAAGATAAGAATCTCATACACATATAGCACTGAGCTACGAAGCAATGAGAGCTTATATTTCCACCACGGACTAGAGCCATTCTGTCACCCAAACTTACTGATACAACTGAAGTAGCTCTGAAAACATGAGGTAACCAGTAAAATATAGTTCATGATTAGCAACTGAGAACCATATTATTTTTGATGAATAATTATATGTAATCAATAAATACTTTAACTAAATATTACTTGCTCAGAAATCAATCAGCCTAACAGAGTTCGCATCTAATACTGCCCACAGGAAGAGTTTGCTCAGTGACTATTTAATGGAAAAAGTATTAAGATTTTTAATTATACTGCTAACTAACCACTTCAATCTCTTCCCAAAATGCAAAGGCTTTGCACAGTGACTCGCACAACTGTTTTCATGAGTTACTTTAAATGCCTACAGTGCCATGCCAGCACTTTTCCATCTTCTTACTACCTTTGGATCCAATGGTCTTTGTATGCAGAACTGAAGGAAATTCCCTTGAAGAGCTCAGACTTATCAAAATCCACCTGGAACTGATCCCAGAAGGGACCAAATGGATTTCCATCCTGTGAAGGAAAGACAAGTGTTCATTCAGCGCATACGCAGAGCCTGAAAGGCAGATCTAGCAAGATCCTGGGGTGCAGTTGAAGTTTTTCTGTTACAGGAGGAAAGCAGACCAAATACATTATCAGCTCCAATTTCACAGATCAGCTCCACAAGGAGAAAGTTCTTTAAAACCAGGAGGATAACTGTATCACAGAGGAGAAAAAGGCAGAGACCAGAAAGCTTTGTTGTTATAGATCAGCGCTCCTCACAGGCACAATAAAGTCTGAAGCGATAAAACCTATTTACACAAACCATCTTCCTGAACCCCAAGGATCTGCTGGCAAAGAAAGGCATGTGAAGCTGGTGAAGGGCCTGGTGCACAAGTCTAGGAGGAGAGGGTGAGGGAAATGGGGGTGTTCAGCCTGGAGAAAAGGAGACTGAGGGGAGACCACCTCGCTCTCTCCAACTCCCTGCAAGGAGGGTGTAGCCAGGGGGGTTGGTCTCTTCTCCCAAGGAACAGGCAACAAGACAATAGGAAACGGCCTCAAGTTGCTCCAGGGGAGGTTCAGGTTGGATATTAGGAAAAATGTTTCCACTGAAAGGGTTATTGGGCATTGGAATGGGCTGCCCAGGGAAGGGGTTGAGGCACCATCCCTGGAGGGATTTAAAAGACCAGTCGACATAGTGCTTAAAGACACGTCTAGTGATGTTTTTTTTATCAGAGTTAGGTTGATGGTTGGACTAGATGATCTTAAAGTGACAGATTTGGGGTAGATAACTCCTAAGTTTGAGGATTTGAGGTGGACAACACCTACATTTGCAAATCAAACACTTAAGTTTGCAAATCAATAGCGACCTGAGTGAGTCAGTCCTTCCCTTTGGAACAGCAGCGGAATTCAAGCGATTTAATCCCACAGGGGGGATGCAGGAGGAACTCACCTTCATGGGACAAGTGCTTTTGTCCGCACTCCTCTGAGCCGCCGCTTCGAAGCAGTAAGCCACTCGCTTGCCAGGAGGCCAGTGAACGGGCGCCAGCTTCTCCATGAACTCCTCCAGGCTGATAACGCGGTGATACCGCAGGAGCGGCTCCAGCTTGAAGTGCTCCGCGTAGGGGACGTGCAGCTGGGGAGGACAGGGACCGCCTCACTCACACAGCCCCGGGATCCCCACCTCACCCCACCGAGAGAGGCCACAGCCCTGCCCGCCCCCTCCCCACCAGGTCCCCCGGGGGGGGCTTACGTTGGTGTAGGGCGGGCGGTGGTGACGGTACTCAATCCACGGCGGCACGGCCAGGGTCCGGTTGAGGGCGCGGGCGAAGGCGAGGGCTCCCAAGAAATGTTCGGCCTGGTTCCCGAACCGGCCTGCAAAGAGGGAGCGAGAGCGGGGCTCAGCCGTGGCCCACACCGGGGGCTCGGGCGGCGGCTCCGCCACGGCGGGAGGGCCTCACCCATGCAGGGACAGTAGAGCAGGTAACCGGCCGCGTCCCAGGCGGGCCCCACGCCGCCTCCCGCCGCCGCCATCGCCACCAGGAGAAGGATGAGGAGAACCGGCGGCGCCGCCATGGCTGCCGGGCGGAGACCAACGAGAGGCGGCCCTATCCCAGCATGCCCCGGGGCCCGCCGGAACGGCCTCTGGAAGCGGGAAGCGGCCACCATCGAGGCGGAAGCGGGAGAGCGACGTCACTCCCATAATGCCCCGCACAATGGGGCCGCCGGGGCCTGGGCCGGAGCCGCGCCTGGCGGGGCCCGGGGGAACGGGGTGAGTGCGGGGAGGGGGGGCGGAAAGAGGGGCGGTGTCATGGCGGCCCCCTCCCCTCGGCGGCGGGGTCCCCTCAGGGGAGAGGGGGGCGTGTGAGGAGGAGGAGGAGGAGGAGGAAGCGGGGGGCGTAGGCCGGGCCCGCCTCTCCCCCTCCCTCCCCCCAGGGCTGCGCCATGGTAACGGGGGGGGGCGGCACGTGTGTGCCCCCTGGCACTAGCCCGGTCGCATTCACAGACCCTTCCCCGAGGGGTGGGGGGACTCCGTTTCCCTCACGGTACAACTGGCGGAGGTGCCGGGGAGGGTCCAGGTTACCGGCACGGCCGCACTCAGTCCTGGGAGCTTTACAGCCACTTTGGGGCTGAGTGAGTTTAAAAAAATTTAATTTTTTGGTAGCATAAATAAACCATTCCGGAGCCATATCCATGTTTGGGGCTTTCCTGGTTTTGCAGGGAAGGGGTTTGGGCTTTTAAAAATCCCGTCTGTTGGCACGTCAGGGAAGTAGAGTGTGAAAAGGCTGCTTTTCCTGTCTGAAAATCATCCTCTAGGAACGGTGTGACTGGTTACATCCCATGGGAAAGGTGCAGCAGCTTTTCCCCGGGCTTTGAAAATAAATGCAAACTTTACGCAGAATGTTTCCAAAATCTGTAAGTGATCCAGTGCAGGAAACTGATACTGAGGCTCAAGCAGCTCAACTAGAAAAATGAGCCTGTTTACATGTAAAAGCTTCTGAATCTAGAAACAGCCGAAGTCACTCACTGCAAGAAAATAATGGTTTTCGTAGGGGAAATCAGGGAATCATGATGACATGTGAGTTGGTGTTTGTGACTGTAGGAAAATTGTAAAAAAAGGGGTCAATACAAGGTGTGTAGGGGGGTAGGAAAGTGATTTTTAGATCCAGGTGTGGCATTGGCAAGGCTGGTACTGTGCATCTAGGTCTGGTGTCTGCTTTTCCTTCCTTATAATTAATGAACCAATACTGGAAAATGACAGAGGATGTAGAAAAGTCATGAAGTGGTCTGAGGTCTGGTAGCAGAGCCTCGCAGTCAGCGGCTGGAGCTAGACTTGATTAGAACACTGTAAAGAAAAGTAAGGGGTGATTTTCTTAGGCTGCTTGGGGGCTTTGGAAGACCAGCTCTGGAGGATGTTGCTGCAGCAGTTTAAGGTGTTAAGGTCGCTGGTCGTTGTGTAGGAAATTTAATAAGGCATGAGTGCACCCGTGCCCTGGCCAGGCTGGTGCAAGGCACTGCGGCTGGGATCGCTGCAGACCCTGGGCTGAGGCTGAGTGCCCACCGTGGATTTTAGTCTCCGCTTTCTGCCATGTAGCTGGTACCTTCAGCTTTGGCAACTTTGAGCTTTAACAACTTAAAAGAGCTTAGCAAACCTGAGTTTGGGGACTGATCTGGCTAGGGGAGGGAAAATTTAAAAAATAAGTTACTTTTCAGCTAGGTAAGTTCCTTCAGCCACACCAGCATGCAGCTATAAGACAGCTGGGGCAGTACAGTGCAGAAGTGGGTGGTGAGGACTGAGGGGACGGAGGGGTCCCTACGCCAACTTCTCTGTCCCTTCAGGATGAAAAGTGACAGTGCTGGAGCAGCTCCTTAGCAAAGGCAGAGCGGGACTCGACAGGTAGAAGCCAAGGACAGCCAGATGGAAATCAGACAGAAGAGATGCCCTTTAGAAAAGAGAAACTGCAGCTCCACAACCCAGGGGCTGGTCAGGCCCCCTGTCCCTGCCTCCCGCTGCTGCTGCACACCCGCTCCAGCCAGGTCAGCACAGCTTTGCTGTTGGTCTGGTCAGAGAACTCATCCAGGCTCCTTTTTATTTTTAGCCTGGGCAGTTCCCTGATCTGGTTGCCAGCCTGGATCACAAGGTTTTCCCAGCCAGCCTAGGAACGGTGCCCTGTCTCACAGGAGCAACTTCGAGGAGCAGAAACCATGCAGAAATTCTGTATCGTTGAACCAGACTTTGCGAAGGATTAGACTGGGACAAACTGTCAAAGCAGGGGGTGGACTCTATCCCAGGGACTTTCTCTGAACAACGAGAATTTATTTATACTATTTACCAATTCATTGTTGTCTGTGCACTGACAAGTGGCTGGAATCTCATACACAGTGTACGATATGAGCTCTTCTAGCTTGAATTTGCACAAACCTGATGACTGCAGTAATGAGTATTTCGTAGAAGTTTGCAGCAAGTGGGAATCCAGCTCTTGGGTGGATCATATTTTTTTTCAGCTCCGTGTTCAACCCACCAAGCTCTTAACCTCTGTAGAACTGAAGCAGAACAAGATTCATCTGGTGATGGGAGTTTTCTGTAACCAACTTTCCTGAGACTTCTGGAGCTGCAAAGGCTAGACATATTTTTCCAAGACTAGCACAAATCTGTCTAAGATAACCAGGTTTCCCAGATGTACAAGATGTTCCCTGAGTAAATGTAGGTGAAGTGTTTGCAGACAGCGGTGACTGCTTCTCTCTGGTGGCTACAGACTTATAGTATAGTGAACAGAGAGCGCATTGGAAACACTCTTTGGAGAAATGGTACTAAAAAACTAATAGAGTTTTTTAAAAACCTAAATATCTACATCACACAGAGGGTTTTCTAGCCAAGCATGAATTACGTTGTTAATCTTCTGTGGCTACCGTATTTCACTGATACTATGCAAGACCCTTATCTTGGTTTTTCTTTCTTATTCCACAGCTGTCAGAGTGTCCCAGGACATGCATTTAGACTTAGAAACAGACCCAAATAGGTAGAGTCCTTTTTCTTGGTAGCTTTTAAGGAACCTACAGATTAAATTTTACAATAATCAATTACAGAATTACCATATCTTAATTCATTTGTATTTGGGCTTCTGCTCTGAAGGTGACAGTTTACGTGCCTTACTCTTACAGATAGCAAAATTCAAACTCTGTTTTCTTTCAGGTAGCTTTGAAACTGGCACAGATGGCTGAGCTTATTCAGAGGGAAAGAAGCAACTACCTGGTGAAAGCGGCAGAGGCTCCCGTAACGTGTGTGCAGCTCTGAAGCAGGAGGTAGAGAACAGTGATCTTTTCTGGCACACATCTCATACAGAGGTGAAATAACCATGGTTGTAGACACCTAGAAAGGAAGACTGCTCTGAACCATGGGACTCCTGCACCCTGAGGAGTAGGAACAGCCGTCACATCACCAGGAGTTGTACCAAAGTGGCACCTCAGCAGTTCTAGTCCTTTATTGTTCTGCTCTGCCTTGACTAGAGTCAACCTGCACAAAACTGAATTCTGTTCTTAATGGACATTTCTAAACCTCACACTGACACATTTTCTTGGTGTCGTTCCATTTCCTGCTGTTTTCCATCCTGAGGGAACTGCTCTCAGTTTTGTGAGTAATGGTGCAGTTACAGTTGCTGTTGTTTCAGCTATTCATAACGTTCAATCTGCACTTTCTTAATGGGGGTTGGTTAGTTCCCTCGTAGTTGCACATCCTGCCCACAACTGGCACTGGTGTTGATGTGCAGGCAGGAAGTTCCTCCTTCTGAAGCAATCATGGAGTGTGAAAGAACTTGAGGGTTTGATGCTATTTTAAGAAGAGTTTCTCAGGCAGCTAAATTCAGTGAAAGAGATCTGTTCTGAGGTTTTTATTTCAACTAACTGTTTACCAGTTTAGGTGTTGGAAGAACTGTATAAAAATGCAGTATTTTACCAACAAGACAAACACAACTCAAGAACAGCCTGCTAAGAGAGATCAATGTAGATTTTCATCAACATGAAAGCCAGCAGAGCATACAGGAGATATATTTTGTTGAACAGGAAACAGTTTGAGCTTCCTTTATCAATGGATAAGTGTGTAAAGACAAAAAAGATAATTAAAAATTGCTCATTATTGTAGAAAACTTGCTAATACAGAGAGGCAGAACCTGCCCCACAGTAGAAAAGTGAAAATACAATGACTAATCACACCATGAAGAGAAGCAGCATCTATTGCCTTCCAGAAAAAGGTGCAATGTTGCTGATAATAGCAAGTTTTCTTCCCCAGCCCTGTTGACCTATGTTTGGTAATTCAGACTGGTTTCCTAGGAGATGGTTTTACTAGTGCACCAGGCTGGTAGCAGAGTGGACAAAAAAAAAAAACAACCAAGAGAACCTTAGTTTCTCTAAAAAGCTCTTGAAGGGAATTCCATGTAAGCAAAGAGCAAGAGCAAGTGAGAACAGACCATGAAGAATACGAAAAAGGGGGATGAGAAGTGATCCACAAAACACATAGGGAAAGCTGAGGTATTCAGTGCTACCAAGAGACTCTATAATATTTCAGGAGAAAATGCATGTAATGGGTTGAGAACAGATCATGAAGAATATGAAAAAGGGGGATGAGAAGTGATCCACAAAACACATAGGGAAAGCTGAGGTATTCAGTGCTACCAAGAGACTCTATAATATTTCAGGAGAAAATGCATGTAATGGGTAACGCTGGCTCTTAATAGTTGCAAAATTGTAATTCTGAAAAAGTTTTAACATCTTTTTTTTCAGGCAACAGGGGTTAAGGGAGAAAAGAAGGAAATGCATTCTGGAGATGGGAGTTTACTATGAACACGTGTCTTCACACATTTGTAATGCTTGTTGAATGCTCACACACGTTTGTGTGACACATTCTGGAGATGGGAGTTTCCTGTGAACACGTGTCTTCACACGTTTGTAATGGCTTGTTGAATGCTCACACACGTTTGTGTGAACGGGTGAAAGATGCAGTGTCCTAACACCAACCCTTCTGTGATTCCAGATGAAGATGTTTTGCTGTTAAACCAGTTTGGTCACAGAGGATTCCAACAGAAAACTGCACCAGGACAACATCCCAGCAAGATGCCTGCAGGCTCGAGTTCTGCTTGACATGGCCACGTTCTACTAGACCTGCCATGACGGCATTTTTTCCTAGTGTT